TTTTTAAATGGCAATATATCAGCATATGAAGATATTGTGATATTTTAATGTATCAATATTTTTTCCCTCGTCTTTAGAAGTTTTTAAGTCTGTAAAAAAGACATTTTTGAGGAAGAAGAAGAAGTAATATTTTTTCTTTTTTTTTTAGACTTTAGAAACTCAGAAGCTGATCAAATATCGGGTTAAATATCGGTGGGGTGGCCGATGTCCAATATTCAGTTTTAAGGCTGATACAGGCCATACCGATAGGGGGCCGATTATGTCACGCATCCCTTCTTCCATTAGCAATCAAATTGTGATATTGTTCAGTGGATCTACAGCGAAATGTGTAGAGGTCAGGGTGGAACATTTAAATGCTCAGTCTTATATATTAAAATTGAACCTTATGAACCAAATGTCTCCTTTTCTATCTTGTAAGGTAACTAGATTTATTTTCCATTTAGTGTTTTGCAACTTTTAATCTCCCGATCATTAACATGCTTCTTAGTATTGCTCATAAACAGTAAACCATACAAACAGACACAGCGAACCATAAATAGATTAATACATTTAATCTATCATTACAATGAGAAATTTGTAGTGATTTTTATTTACTTACTGTTGTTTTGTAATTATCAAAACAATTTTAATTAACTTAGCTCCCCATGCATGTTTTCCTTTGGCATTTAGGCCAAAAAAGAAGGCGTGTTAAATTGTTTATTGATCATGTTAGGATCATTAATCTGCTCAAAGATCCAATGACAACCCACTTTTGAGTTTCTGGCAGAGGCCACCTAATTATTTAATTGAAATCTACTGATAACTAAAATAGCTTGCATTGGAGGAGAAACGTGCCCAAAGTATCACACATCTTCTGCTGCACAAGTATACATGAGGTGCACTTCAAACAGATTTAGCACCTTCAAAACATTTAGTTCATATCTTATTCTATAGTGTTTTGGGTAGGTTACAGTTACATTATAAGTTAACCTGCTCACGTTTTTATCCATGGCCAGGTGAATTATTTTATCTTCTATGAATAAAATCACTGGCTCTGTATACTGTATACTGACATATTAATCTCAATATATTTCCTAATGCCAGACTTGATGAAAAGATGTATCTTTACGTGCTTTAAGGTAATATTTTATGTATTGCTTTAGCTTTTAAATGGTGTTTCTTAGACATTATTTTATTTAGTTGCAGGAGGTGTATTGCTGTGGGTGGATATCTTAAAAAAAGGCTCAAGATGTCCTGCCTTTATCATCCAGCATCCCTCACATCCCCCCAGTTTGTCTTCGTCCCACTCAACGTCTCATTCTCTCAAGTCAGCCCTTCCTACGCCTCTCAATCTTTTTATGTGTTTCCTCTCTGAAACTTTGCATTACTAGTGAACCATCCGTTTTTTATTTTCCTTTTTCGGTGTCTCCTTTCCTATGCCAATTTTTCTCAAAAGTCTGTTAGTGCAAGATTGACATATTACAGAAACACTCTGGCTCTGTTGTCTTTATTGGAACTAAATCAGCTAAAAACAAGCTATTAAAGGGCAACAGTCCCAGTTATTTCAACAGACTTGGATTACAATTTAACACTGGTCGTAGAGAAATTCTTATGGCTTCACAACAAGTGAAATTTGAAATTTGCACAGGATTTAAATAAAAAAACGACAAACTATATATTATTTTTATTACTTTATTTCAAAACAGATGCCTAAATTAATCACTGTAAAAGTATGTAACATTTCGATTACATTGTAATGGTATTTTTTAACGTTTCAATTGTCATATCTGAACTTTTTATAAACTATATACATTTCTCTTTGGCAGGGTTCTCTAACCTGACTCCGCCAGAT